TATGATGCAGATCACCAAAAATTTACTATGTTTTACAACTCCCTATTGATCTGCGTGACATGTCCTGTGACTGATAAGCAATTAATGATTATAGATGATCTGCACTGTAGTAAGATTTACACAAGTTTACGCTAAATTAATTTCCTGATGATAATGCAGATGTAAGAAAAGATAAAACATTATGACTATATTTAGGCAAAAATATTATTATTGGAAGCATCAAACCTCAACCAATGAAAGCTCTGTTAGATAAATATTCTCCAATTGTGAATCAACTTGCAACACACTATCACTATTTTTGTCAGTTTCTCTGGCGATATAGATAAACAAATAGAAATAAGTAAATAAATAAAAACAGAGGATTGCATCATATGTCCATCAGAATTACTTTTTTCAATGCTTTTGTTTACTTGTAGATATGAGTGGTTTTCTTTGTTGTTGTTTCTTTGTTGACTAGAAAAAAAGGATATTAAAAAACTGAATGTTGACAAAAAAAATGTACTGCTTACTTACCATTACATTTTTTGTTGACAACAGTGATTCACTCTTCGAACATAAGCAGGTTTTCTTGTTTTCTTTACCTCTCTTTTTGTTTGGTGATGATATTATATTATTATTTATAAAATGTAAAAAGAATAACTTAATAACTGGAGTGATGGCAAGTTTGCAGCAACCACTACCATCATTCTTATGATAAACTAGAGTAATGATGAGTGGCAGGTGATAACCACCACCATCCTTATTCTCTTTTCTTTTCTTCTTTCATTGTTGATTTGTGACATCTTTAAAAGAAAAAGAAGTTTGTGATTTGATCAATGCGTACACATTATTTATTTATCCTATTGGTTTTTTTTGGTAGGACAGACACAAATTGATTGATTTTTTTTTTTTTGGAAAACAAAAAGCAATTTATTTTTTGGCAGAGTCCAAGGTGACAAAATGTGAGTGTTGTTGTTTGGTTTGGTTTGGGTCTCCTAAAGAATACAGTTCACTCTCTCTATAACAAACCCTTTGTCCCTATATGTAATTTCTCTGCTTTTGGTCATTATAGAGAGAGAAATTAATTATAAAAAATTGAAACAGAGACAAAAGGGAAGTTCGTTATAGAGAAATTTTACTTAGTGGTCATTATAGAGAGGGTCATTATAGAGAGAGTAGACTGTATGTGTTAATAACTAACCAGAGTTACTTTTTTTTATTTGTATTGATATGTATGAGTATACATGAAGTCAAAACTATTTTGACCATTGCAGATCTGGCCAAGATAGGGTCAAATTTTTACTATGTAGTTGCCTCAAGTTGAAACATTTTGACTTTGGGGTTTTAATTTCGACTTCATGTATATGTATGAGGTGTCTTTTATTTTAGCCTATAAATATTTTAATTGGATCAAATGCAGAGTAGATCTTGCTGGGTAATTACAAGATTTTCATTGATAATATTTTGTTTTGCGTAATCATAATAATAATACTATTATTAATATATAATTACAAGATGTCAAGGCAATACACCATTTAAAAAGAAACAATTCAAATATGCGATTTTTGATTATCAGAAATTGGCAGGCATGCTACCTTGAACACTTTACAGTCATTCTCACATGTTCCTCATGTACATAAGGCTAATCTGACCTGCTCCCTCTGATGATACAATGATGCAACTGAACTCGAGGGGGGAGGGGGCATGGCCCTGGAGTTTACTGAGACTACATCAATCATCAATGACATTTTCACTAATCTTCTCAGATCAGAGAAGGCTAGCTGAAAAGTTGTCTGCAATGGTCCCACCTCTAGGGTAAGGGTGGCTCTATGACCAAGCTGCAACTCTGCTGATGAATTGTAATGCCATGTAAATATCCAGATCCATCAAAGCAAAGAGAATCTGCAACTTGTTTCAAGCACAGGAAGTCACAATTCAGAGCAGGGTTTGTGGCCCTGAAATTGCATTGGCTCTCATTGGCCATATTGCTGACAAAGATGTATATAATCATGTGATAATTTTAGTCTATAGGACAGGGGACTGATTGGGCAAAAACCCTGTTCAGTCCTCTACCCAAAATTATTAAATTGGTTAGTATCAGAGAAACAGAGCATTTATGAAAATGGTTATACAAAACAAACACTCTTTTACAACTTTCCTCTTAACATCAGAGCAAAAGTCATAAAATGGTTTGGATTTTGGTATGTAATGTTATAAATTAATCATTTTCATAAATTTAAATTTTCTGTTTTTCTTTAATTTTTGTTTGACCAACTGAACTTGTTATTTAAATCAACTTTATTCTAGTGAGAAAGGGTGTTAACACAAAGCAATCACCACACAAGCACCAGCTATCAGTGATCAATGCCCATGTGGTAACAACCAAGCCTGGTCTAGGGGAAGATAAGGTAAAGTTTTGTCCAAAGCCTTCCAACATGTGGGGTATTTCAACTGTGGAAAAAAAATCCATGGTGCTGAAGTGTGTGAAAGCACCCGACTGCATGTTTGTGATAGGAAATTTTAATTAAATCTGACACCTGCAATCAACATCAGATTTATTATTCATAAGGAAAAGTAATTTATTTGTGAACCCCAGGGATCTGGGTAGACTTGCATTGTTAAAAGTTTCATTTATGCATAGCTTATATAATTACTACTTGGGTGATGCAATTGTTTGTTATGTCAATGATGATATCAAATGTATCACATAATAATCATGACCACCATGAATATTCAATGGATGGAGGCATTCACATACAAGGAAATGAAGGAAACGATTAAATAGCTAAGTCATGTTTGTTTTATTAAAAACATATGATTAATTATATTTAAAATATACAATAAAATAATTTACTTATTTGTATTTCTTTGGTCAAGATTGACAAGTTTTTTCATAACGAACTGAACACAAACTTTCCATCCAAACTTAACTTAACATTAAAAAAAAAAAAATTAACGTTAAAAAAAATAAATGTTAAATGTTAAAAAATTTCTAAATTTCATAGATTTTAAGAGAAATAAAATAAATAATTTTTGTTTATATATATTCAAATGGTGTATATAAATTTGTATATATGTAAAATAATAAAATATTTCATATAAGTTATATAATTGTATTTTATATTTTTATTTTATTTATATTAATTAATAGTAGTAATAAGTTTTAATTAATCTCAAAATAAGTTCAATGAATAACAAAGAATTATAATTAAAATATTAAAAAATTCCCAAATTTTCAAAAGATCTCATCAAAAAAAAAAATAAGAAATCAAAAAAAAAAAAAAAAAAGGATTATTTAAGTTTCATAAATATAAGATAACATGCCTAATTTTGAGAAAAAAAGAAAGAAATGAATTAGTGCCAAGCTGTTGTTTCAAAAGGACACACATATATATCAAATATAAGAATAATATTCTTACATGAACAATGGGCAATTGTGATGTTTTCTTTTTGCCTTTATTAATGTTGTCATTATTTTCAATGTTATTATTTTCATCGCCGTTAATGTTGTTATCAATTTCATCTCCAAGGATGCATTCTTCCTCTTTGTACTCATCAAAAGATGCAATTTTTTTTTTATCTTTAGCAAAACCTTCTGGCACAGTAACAACTAGCTCTTTCAATGGTAATTTATCCATACTAACAACATTATGAACATCTTCCATTAACAACATACTAAGAGGCCATAATTTATCATCATCTGGTGTTCTGATATCCTGAGCACCTATCACTAAAAATCCTGAAGGTGGTAGTGTATTGTATGCTTCAATTGCTAATTTCATTATTGTAGTACGATAGATGGGGATATTTTTAGGGTGTAATGATGTATTTGGTATGTGTGGTATTACTATTAGTGCTGTTGGTGTTGGTGTTGGTCTTGGTGTACTATTTAAAAGTTTTCCTAAATGTGATATATCATCAGATTCTTCACCAAGATCACATTTTAATCCCTATTTGAAAATGATAAATAAATAAGCAAATAACTAATAATAAATAAATCATCACTTTCAATTTATTTGATGTTCTATCAAAAGGCCTTTACCAAAGCAAGAAGCATTTTATGATTTTCTTGAATTCTTTTTTGTCTGATTTTTTCATATTCAGGAATTTCATTATCATCTTTATCTTGGTCTAGATTTTAAATTAATTAATCATAAAATATGAATTTAAATACATCTAACAATAATCTCTACTATAATTATGCATTTTATTACCATTAATCATTGATTCCAAATTATCATCAGAAACATCATTATTATAATTTCCCTATTGAAACAATTTATTGTTATATAATTAGGAATGATAATGACTATTATTTAACAAAAGTTTATATATAAAGTATTACCTCTAACTTATTATTAAATTTTATATTAATTTCTTCATAATTTGCACAATCTCTGCCAAATCTTTCAACCTAATAATAACAATATTTTATAAACATCCAATAAATAATTCAAAAACAATTACTAATAATTAATATATATATACCATCCTTGAAGTGCAAAGTTGTACAAAGGTGTATTTATCTGATGGTTTAAATGTCCAAGTTGTACCCATAACAACACTTTTACGTGCAATAGGCAAAGTAGGGATTTCTCTTAAATTTCTTTCATATGTTACTTGATTTTCCAACATAGAATAATCTTAAAATAAATAAATAATAAAATAAAACTTTAATAAACAACTTTTTCAAGTAATTCAATCAAGTAATTAATTGAATAAATAAAATACCAGGTATTAATAACATTTTGTCATTCTTTTCTTTATCTGTTTTTCTAAATGTTGCAATGAATTCATGTGTAAACATTAAGAAATCATATTGAACACAAAGATATGTTCCTAGTCCAAATGCTTGACAATATCTTTGACGTTTTGCAACCTATTAATAATTAAATAAAAATTAGAATAATTAAAAATAATCATTTATAAAAAAATTTAATTTATTACCAATTCTTCTATTTCAAATCCTTGATTTATATATTGTCTAAATAAATTAAAGCTGACAGGGACATAAAAACAATGTTCTCTGTTATCACCAATTCCAAGTGTAATCCGTTTTCCAAACTTTAATAATCTATTATTATTTAATATTTTTTTAATAAATTTATAATTTTTTAAAATAAAATAAATACATTTTATAATTCTACCTCCATGATTCCTCAATAACTTTACTCATCTCCATTGCAAATTCTTTACAATTTGCAAACCTTGATAAATCTCCATCTATATGTGTTGAATATTCAACACTGAAAAAAATTTTATTATATAAATTTAAAATTAAAAAAAAAAGTTTTACTTTATTTTATTCTAGTTTTTAACTTACCAATTCTTATATGGAGGATGACTTAATATATGATCAAATGATTCATCCTCAAATATTGCACCTTTTAAACTCCTTGAATCTGCTTGAAGAATAATTGGTCGATGTTCAGCTGTGATCCCTTGATTTGGTGGAATTGCAAATGAACAATTGCATTGTGACAATGCAACAGCAGCCTAATAAAAAAATCAATCATTGAACATAAAGCAGATCATTGCTGCCATTACTAACATTATTAACACCTACTACAATTATTTGCTAGCTAATGTTAATAACTTACAGGATTAATATCAACACCAACAAGTCTTTTTGAAAAAAAGAAATAATAATAAAATTCAAATTAATTATTATTAAAGATAAATGATTATTATTAATAAAATTAATTAATTATTATTATAACCTACTTTCTGCATAGCAGAAAACATTCAATGGCATCAGTCCCTAATATATAAAACATGAATAATTAGTATATGTAAAATAAAAATAACAAGGTATAAAAAAATTTAATTTATTCAACCTCTTCCAAGGAAATTTGATAAAACCTTATCATTCTTTCTAGTATAACGAAGTATGGCTCTACAATGTATAAATTTTATAAAGTATGAGCAAAAAATTTCAAGGATCAAATTGATTAATAACCATTGGATATTTGCCTTCGAACCGTTTGTGGAAGCCATGTACCATGATAATCAGTACCACTATGTGTTGCCCCTAAAAAAAAAAAAAATTCAAAATATAAATATTTTAAAAATCTCTTGAATTAAAAACAGTAATAAAAATAATTAAATTTAAAAATATATTTATTTACATCTTGGTGCACGACCAGGAATGTCAAAATAAGAACTATCAAATGTTAATGAGAACAATTGATTTTCAGCTGGTTCATAACTATCAAGGTACAAAGCATGCGATTCCAAATCATCAAATTTTTTGTCAGAACAAATAGTTCTAGTGAGATATGGTCTATAAATATAATCCTCGCTACTAGTTATATATTGATTTGTTTCCAAATGTTGCATGTCACTTGCATTATTGTTGTTTATAAGAACTGATTCAAAACATTCTTCACACATTAATACTCCATTATAACCTATTTTTATGAAGAATTTTGTTGTTTACTAAAAATTCAATTAATCATCAAAATTAATATATATATATTTTTTTTACCTTTCCTCCAACGAGGAGATTCTTCTGCCCAACAATATGAGCATTGAATTTTTGATCCTTTACCACGACTTGGAAGTGAACTCTTGGTTTTTTTCTTCATTCCTATAATATAAAAATTATTATTATCATCAATATCAAGCTAAAAAAAAAAAAAGATTAAATTCATATATTATATTGATATTATTATTACCAGCTACACGAGCTTTTTGATTAGCAACAGCTATCATGGCTTGTTTTGTGATTTGGTCATCCTTTATTTTCTTTACACCTAAACAAACAAAAATTAAATTAAATTATAAATTCATTAATCAAATCAATTAATTAAATTTAAAAAATTCACTGACATGTTTCTTCATAATCATCTTTTGAATGTTGATGATTTTCTGGAAACCTTTCTGCATAGCACTAATTAATTGATTAATTAACTAAATTAGTTAGTTATTTATATAAAATATATAGAAATAATAACTTGATTTCTTTCTTTATTTACTTGTTGACATAAATCAAATGAAGTAAAGAATTTAGATTCACATGGTTTACAAGTCCACCATTTGTCTGCTTGTAATTCACATGAACAAACATCACATCTATAAACTTCGTTATAATATTCTATCCATAATGTATTTTTTTGATTAAAAAAATTGTTTAAAAATAAAATACAAAAAAAAAGTAAATGTTACAAACCTGTTTGAGCATAACGTGATTCATGTGTGGGGCAATAAAAAATCACACCCATTTCAAAATGTGAAAGGGGTTTTTCAGTACATGCAAGATGATAACTTTTTGCACATTTTGGATCAAAACATCCAATTGTTGCTCCTCTTTCTTTACATTTTGCACATTTCTAAAAATATATATTAAATAATTTTTTTAAAAAAAAAACCCATCATCATATATATAGACTGCAACTCATGTTTAATAACATACCATACTTCTGCCTCTTTTCCAAGCTATAGTGATATTATACCATTCATTATTCTTGGTAACATAAACTTCGGGTGAATATTTTGCACAAGCATAATGTGACCAAAATCTTTTTTGTCTTTCACCATGTCGTGTATAAATATTTGCAATAAATGGATAAGGACCAATGAAGTTGCCTAGCTGATTAGGATCATCATCATTACAGAAACAACATATCTTACGTGAGCTCCAAGCTTTAAGGTAAAGATATCCCATATCATTCTCAATTGGTATGTTGCTATTTAATATTTCAAGATTTTCTTCAGTGTAAGTTGTGTCACAAGTATCCTTATCAAATGTTGAAATTACTTCTCCCTTCGATGACATTTTAATAGCATCATCATCTATGATTGACTGTACTGCAAAGGAACAACGAGGATGTTCATGATAATTTGGAAATTGATGCCCATAGCACCTAACAAATAAATTATTAATTAATAGATATTACAATAATAATTAATAAATTTATTGATTAAAAAAGTTATGCTAACCATGCGCAAAGTTCAAAACTCCTATAATCATTTCCTTCAGAAGGTGATTCACAATAAGTGCAGTAATATCTGTTGGAGAGCATAGTTTTTATAAATAACAAATAACACAAAGTTTGGCAATTTTAATATATATTTACCTGAATTGTTTAATTATTACATTACATTGATTACAATATATACACCATTTATCATTATCTACAAAATTATAAAAAGTACAAGTAAATATTTTATTGTCATCCCTAAACATTACTAGTTTATCAATTACCTTCAAAACTCCCAATTCGTTCACCATTTACAACAAATTCCAAGTGAGACACCTGATTATTATCATCATTAATATCACATTTGCCACTCTTTCGTTGGTGTCTATCTTTTTTATTGATCAAATGTAATGATGATGATATAGCTTTGGAGGAATTTTGATGAGCATAGGTATCAGGTTCCTTAATTATTTGTCTTACACGTAGTCGATCACTTGTGATGTCTATCCATTCATCATAAAATGCAGGCACATCATCATAATGAATTAAGATTCTACAACCTTTTGATGCAATTATAGTTGCAGGCATCCATTCCCTCAATCTATCACGAACTTCAATTTTATTACCTAATTTGAAACGTGTCTTTAACTTTGCAAGAATATTACCATCAGTTAATATTACATCATTACGGGCACTACGACGTGTGTTTCTTGCAAAATAAAAATCACTAAAATCAAATGAATCCTCTAAAGGATCTTTAGTGATGAATTGTTCAGTTTGTTTATTTTGAATATCAGAATTATCAATTGCAGTTTTTAATTTTTTGTGGTTATGATTTGTGTTGTCACTTTCAATTGATGTTAGAGAAGTATTTGACAACCCCTTTTCAGAATATGTGGAATAATTTGATAGTGAAGGTGATGAAGATGAAGATGGAGATGGAGATTTTGATGAATGAAACAAAGAAGATTGGTTTGCATAATTATTGATTAGTTGTTTATTATTTCTTTTTAATAGAGATTTATAAAAATTTTCAGTTTGTTCAATCAATCCCTCATCCTTTTTCATAACATCCAATTTTTTTTGTGCTTCAACTATTTCTTCAATGGTCATTTCCTTCATTCGTTGACTGCCAGCAGGTATCCACTCATCAAAATAATCACTCCAACCATCAAAGTGTACACGAATTCGGCCATCTTTAACATCCATCATAGTAGCTGAATACCATCCACCATCACTATAAAACACTTTAACACGTTTATACAACTCAAAACCATATTGAGCACGTCGAGAACGAAATTCAATATCATCATCAAATAATGATCGACAATACAAGCATAAATCAAGACTACCAACTTTTTGCACATTCAAATGCAATATTTTACATGATTCACATAGTTTTGTTTCTGGCTGCTGTTGTTGCTTATTATTATTATTTTTGGATAAAAGTTGTTTTTGTTTTTCAGCAGCAGGTTTGTTGGATAATTTTTTTGATTTTATATTATTGATTTTTTTGTTTGCTTTTGTAACTTTTATATTTTTATTACTGGTAATTGTCACATTGTTGTTATTAATTGTAGTATTTCTGATAATCCTTGTACTTCTTCTAATTGAATTAATTGAACCTCTATAATCATTATTATTATTATTATTTGTGTTTGTATTTGTATTTTTATTAATGATATTTCTATTTCTATTACCAATATTTCTAATATGCCTAATAATACTGCTATTATTGTCATTACATATAACAACTTTAGGATTAATGTCATAATTATTTGCACCAGCAATAGCATTGGAATTATTAATTCTAACACTAACTCTATTATCTATTTCATTATTTATATTAGAATTACTATAATTATTACTATTACCTATTCTACTACCATTAAAACTATTACTACTAATATTACTGCTACTAAGACTGCTAAGACTGCTAAGGCTGCCAATGCTACTAAGACTACTAGTGCTACTAGCTTCTCCCTCACTTAATGAGTCTTCAGTTTCGGTCAGAAGGTTACTGCTAAGTGAAGAAGTGTCTGAATCTTCCTCATAAACTCTTTTAATAGACTTCATGGCAAACTTTTTTTT